TTAACACAAAAAAATGGATAAGAAGGGACACCGCAGACAACATGTGGCCATCTCTGAGACTATGAGCGAGGCAGACGAAGCCAATGACGCAAGAAAGCGAAGATGAAAACTTAAGACATAGAGAAATACGTTCAAGTTGTTCAGTTAGTTGGCAGACAGCTCTTTGAGGGGGACCGAAAGCAATCATGCGACCGTATGAAAAGGTAAATGGGCCAAGCTGATTGAGAATGAAAGGCGTACAAAAAGAAGCCCCCCAAAAGCTTAACAATGAGTGAAAAGGACAGTGCCAGGGGTCAAAACCCTGGAAGAAGCGAGCAATGGACAGCTCGTTGCAGCAGCGTCGCCCAGACGAGACTTGGCTGCTCTGAGAACCCGAGATTAGCGCTAAGCTGATTGCAACGCGAGGTGGGATCAGGAGCAATTAATGTAGCACCCAGATCATTCCAGGAAAAGGCTGAAAGAGCCTTAACAAAACACAGATCTCCCGCAAAAACTCCTCCGAGTCAAATACTAGCTGACTTAACATTCCTGCTTGTGTCTGCAAATGAGCCGCCTGAAAGGAATCCTGGGTAAAAAAGACGGCAGATGAGGGACCTGGAAGGCTTGAAAGAGTGTTTGGATGATAAAAGGAAGGATGAAAGAAAAGATGAAGACGCTTGGCAGAGGCTGACATCAGCCAAAACAAACAGTCAAAGAACAGGACATTCTGTAGCGGGCAGAAATGGGCTGGCCTGTTCCGATGGGCTCTCGGAGCACGCCTCTGAACGTGCGTCAACCATTTTTTATTAACATCCTGGTCCCTAATGTAAGAGAACGAAAGGTTTTCTTTTTCTTTGTTACTATAATCGCACGAACCTGACATTAAATACTGAGTCTTGCCTGTTTGATCCTGGTGCTCAGCGTGATGACCCCTGCACACTGGGATTTGTAGTTTTTCCAACAACCGCCCATTTTCTCAAACTTTACTGAGGCACACAAATTCTCCATTTCATGTTCAGCAGTTTTATCCAGAGAGCAGCAACACAGCCTCCAGGACATGCTGCCTTTCACTTCGTCAAGAAACAGTGATCTTGCGCTGTGCAGTGACTCACTGGCTGATGTCATTCAATAACAATGAAATTTTTCTACAGGGATGGAGGCGAACGTTATAGTTTAAGCTCACTGTAAATCTGACTGAAAAAATTAAGTCTCTGCTTTGTTTTTTTGCTATACTGTGCTATAACCCCACCACAAACTCACTGACCCCTGACAACACACATGCGCTCTCGACAGACAAGAGCTCCCCCTGGATACACCAATCTTCAGTCCTTACAGGAACAAACAGACGCTCTCCTATACCGACAGCAGCCAAATCAAACAACCATTCCCCTCCAACCGAAGCGAGACTTTGCTCCTGGTTTTAACAGACACATCAACAACCAGGCCACCGTCACCAACTGGCCTTCTCTAAAACATCAAACCTAAGTCAACCATGGCTACTGAAGGAAACATCCAGCTGCCAAAACCACCAGCATTCACCGAGTCCGGATTTTCTTCCAATCTATTTTCTAAAGTGAAACTGAGCGGCAAACATGACTGAGAAACATAAACTGAAGCAACCTTAAAAATATGAGAAGCTAAGCCACATTGAGCAGCGGACAGTACCGCAGTCTCTGTCAGACTTCTAAAGCTGAATTCACGACATGTAATGATTAATCATTATCATTAAATATAAATATTTTCCAACTTCAGTTTGAAAGAAGTTCACATTATATGCAATCACATGCCTCATTAGAGTAAAGGTACTATTATTAACATTTAAAATGCATTACTAGTAAACGTATGCATTCAAATTTTCATTCATAGTCTCTGTCCTTCTTTTAAAGTATTATAGTGTATATTTCTATATATACTTACAACTGCTTGTCAGCATAATCTCATAGCTGTAATTACCCATTTAGAAATTTGATATTACCTATTATTATATTTACAAGGTGTATGTAAAACTAAAAAGTACTCAATAACAGCAAAAAAAGTGAATCATATACATAAAGTTACAGTAATTGCACAACTTTAGTGTGTTTTTACATTGAAATCTTCTTTAAATAATCCAGCCAAGGGCCGTACACACCAGGCCTACAGGACGTTCCTACTCCTGAACCAGTCTGATCTATACACATTTGATTCTTTCATGCTTAGGAAAGCAGAGGTGACTGCTTTTGATACTATGCTGACACTATGGGGCTATATGCACTAACCTCCTCGGAACAGCAGAGGGAGCACTTTTGACAGCCTTCTGGGAGCCGGTTCCGCATTGAAAATGTGGTTGTGCAATGCCTTTGCAAAGCTGATCATTCTCACTACAAGCCAGAGGAGGGAGCCAACTGGTCAACAATGAATCCTTTGTATAGTCATGGTATAGCATGGCACATGGTGAACAAAGTGATCTACTGTCACATTCCTATCTACATTTCAAAACGTGTCATCACCATCACTCGGAGCATGTTTTGACTCCATGTGGATACAGCAGATCTGACCTTGCTTCTGAGCTTCAGTGATGCTCTCCTCTGATGGATCTGCCAAAAAACAGAACAGATGATGGCAAACAGGCATGTTCACAGTGCTGGTATTTGGTCCCATTCAGCAACATGCATGTGGTATTTTTTTTAACAAGAAAATGTGGGATGTAAAAATAAAACTTAACAGTCCATACTGTTGTTTCAAAAATGTTTCTTTATTTAGAAAAAAAGGAAAATGGGCAGGAGAACCTGATACAATGCTTCAACAGCATTACATGCAGTAAAAACACTACACCAGATTTAGATTATGCAACCACACAAGGATTTAAACACTGCTTGTGGCGTTTACTCCCACCTTCTTTTGACAAAACGAAGACAAAATGTGTAAAAGGGTCTATACCGAATACTGAGCACCTACTGCCAAACAACCCTCTGTTGCTTTTATGGGACAAATGGGATTGGTGGCTGTCAAAGAGCTTACATTTAAGACATTGTATCATTTTGCTCAGGAAACACTGGTCACTTCGGTCGATTCCTTTGAGCATAATCTATTGTTTATGCTGAAGACAATTCTTAGCTACTGAAGACACTTATAATATTTTAGCTCTAACACGCTTACCTCAGTTTGACTCTAATACATGTTGGTTAAGACCCCATTGTTCTAATTACAGTAAATTCAGGGTTATACATCCGCATACAGACTAAACAGAGAGATTTCCTCTTCTATAACAGACTAATATGCACGTTGTTAGCAAAATGGCTTCAACTTTCTCCACCGACGAAGAGTCGACAGTGTTCAAATCGTCACTGGCAAACGTAAACGAGCACTTTCTACCTCTGAAATAACCTAACGACTTAAAAGTAAAGCTAAAATATTCACAGGGCTCATTTTAATACTGTGTTCGGCGGTTTAATATAAAAACAAATACGTGGGTATTTGACTGGTCAAGTTAGCCAACAAGAATATTCCAGACCTCCATCTTTTCTCGTTCACAACAAGAAGCATACAACCGCCATGTTGAGCGCTAACTGTGATAGCCTTAATTATATTCCTCACGTAGCGTTTGAAAAGCAAAAATAAAGGTGGTATAGTAAATCAACGCGTTTTCAACAACCTCAGCATGTAAACAAGCATGGCACCATTAGCCAGTAATTAACCGGTAAACATCGTTTTGTGCCATTATGGCAAATACAGGGCTAAACCGAAGAAGGCTAAAACACAGGGAGCCTCACGTTAACGGCACTTTTTAACACTACGATATAATAATACCATTATGGGATAAATATAATAAACTGTTGATGGCATGTGAAATAGCAGGGCAAAAAACATCAGGGAACATACCGTCATTGCTGGTAAATAGTCCAACGTTAAGCTAACCAATCGACTGCTTTACCCAAGAAAGCCAAATAATAACTCTAGAAATTTAAAAATGGAATCAGCGGGCTTGTAAACGAGTTGCAACCATTACACTTTAAATAACACTCGCCGTTCGTCGGTAAAATTAGTGGCCAAATAATGCTACTTAACCGCCATTTCAGCCTGCTTTCGAAACGTGGCCTTTGTAGGGTTTCTCGTTTTAACAAAAATATTTTAAAGCGAATCAACAATTTAACATTATGATTCAATACAAAGCGAGCATATTACAGATATAAGTGAAAATAGTCAAAATCCGGTGAGAAGCAGGTGTTAAATAAGCAGTTGAGGCTTCCCCGAGACTTTCCTAAAGGGCGTGCGGGAAAATCCAGTTCAATATGCAGCCATCCCTCGCAGTCGAGTCCGAGGCTTGCATTCAAAGTCCCAGAGATCCAAAAATGCACAAGTCAAAAAGCCAAAACGTCGACGCATTTCTTAAAAGAGATCGAAATATAATCCAATAAACAATGTTTCTGAAGTGAAAATGTAATATTTGTCGACTATTTTCCCTGTTTCACTACAGACATTTACAGGCCTCAGCTCTGAGCCTCTTTTCTTAGAGCCCAGGCTGATCCACAGCGAGACGAACGAGGGAAGAGAGATTTTTTTTATTTTTGCTCAGAGGGAAGAAATTCACATCGGCGACATTCGGCAAACATCGGAAACGAGGCGGGTTTTGGTGAAATTATTATAAGAAGCTTCATATCTTCGCAGTCATTGGTCAACTCTTTTCAGCTACTAAATATTAACGAGAAAAAGAACGAATCCGAAGGCTTTAAATTGAATATTCACATTTTGGATGTAAAATATGCTCAACACCGCCTATTCTTGCTTGATATAGCCAATAGGAATTAGCTTGGATTAAATCAACGCCCGCCTTTAGCTTTCATTCGCTGACAAAAACAAGCGTGCCCTCCAATTGGTTTTACGTGCAATAAAATTGATTATTCATTTAACTGGCTTGAATGGCCAATGAGCGTTTTACTACGGGTATCCACGTCCCACCTTCCGAAGAGTCAGCCCCTGTCTTTGTGAGTGGGCCAACCCGTAGTAAGACTCAATCTATATAAGCAAGCGTTGGACTTCTCAACATTCAGTAGCGCTTAGAGCGCTCCAGAGTGTGGATCAAAAAAAGGGAGGGGAACAGTCGGTAGTCAGCTTATATATGATTAAACAAAATTAACTCGGCTTTAAAGGCAACCGACAGCAGAGGTCCCTGGACTATCGCCTTCGGAGACTTTCCGGTCACCGTTGGCGGCCTGACCAGAGTCGTGGTGACAATTTAAAGGCTGTTCCTGCTCACAAAGCGGCGTGCCGAGGAAGGACGCGTCTCTTTGAATAGACAGGATGCACGGACCGCCCTCCGGCGACAGCGCATGCCCATTGCGCACGATCAAGAGAGTTCAATTCGGCATCATCAGCCCAGATGAACTTGTAGGTTTTATTTATGGAGGGTGGGATTTTCGTATTTTAAATTATATTACATATCACATACGTTACATTAGTGTCTTCAGTTATAGTGTAATTTAAAATATGGGGCAACGACATGGTTCCGTTTACAACGGGGAAATCCTATTGTTAGCGTAGCCTAGCTAGCTAACAGTAAGTTTAACTAGCTTGAGCTAACTAGCATGTTGCAGGAAGTTTGAGAACTTAAAGAACATCATTATTTAAATAAATCTATGCTATCACATGAATGAAACCCCATTTTATTAAGGCGTATTGATAACTGGGCCCAGTGTGGAGATGGTATTTTGGTGTCTGTGAAGCTCTTTGATGTGTTCATTGCGTGTTTGAATTTTAACACTGTATGCACAATAAAGGCATCGTTACTTCAATAAATTCAGAGCATTTTTAAACCTGAAGGTCGTTTTTTAAGCGTGACATGACTGATATTTGATCAGTTTCTTGGTTTGCATTTTTGGTGATTTTTTTTTTTTTTTTTTTTTTTTTTCATATAGCTAAAATTTCAATATGAAGTTATCGTGGGCAGAGATTCATGTTTTTCACGCACAGTTGTTAGCGAAACAACACGTGTTACGTGGTGTGTACACGTGTTACTTTGTACTTTATTATATTTTACGTTATTACATTATTGAAAGAACTTACAAAATGAATATGTATCGATTTTTGAGACATGATCAGTAATGTGAAGAAAGTAATTTACTTTGCTTTGTTTTCTCCCCAGAGACGGATGTCCGTCACAGAATGGGGAATCAAGTACCCCGAAACAACAGAAGGAGGACGTCCGAAACTTAGTGGCCTTATGGATCCGAGACAAGGGGTCATAGAGCGAACTGGGAGATGTCAGACATGTGCAGGTATTGTCAATTTAGCATTTATTGTCCCTATATACTCTTTTAAAGGTGGGCCATGATGTCATATTGTTTACATTGCTTCTCTTTCTTCAGGCAACATGACTGAATGTCCAGGTCACTTTGGTCACATAGAACTAGCAAAACCAGTTTTCCACGTTGGCTTCATATCAAAGATTATGAAGGTTCTTCGGTGTGTCTGCTTCTTTTGCTCCAAGCTGCTAGTGGATTCAGTAAGTAGTAATAATACAATACTGACGTTTCACTAGAAAAAAAATCTTATTTCTGTCCTGATGTTTCAAGTTTGGATTCTTAAAACACCTTAATCCATTACTGTTAACCTATAGAACAATCCCAAGATCAAAGACATCCTCGCAAAATCCAAAGGGCAACCCAGGAAGCGTTTGACCCACGTCTACGAGTTGTGCAAAGGAAAAAACATCTGTGAAGGCGGAGAGGAGATGGACAACAAATTTGGAATGGAGCAGCAGGAGACAGAGGAGGATCTCACCAAGGAGAAGGTATTTGGGTGGGGCCTTTTAGTCACCGTGTACAAACATTCGTGGAATGGCTCAGCTATTTAACCTCATCCTTCCCTTATGGTTTACATAGGGTCACGGGGGCTGTGGACGCTATCAACCACGCATTAAACGCTCCGGCTTGGAGTTGTATGCTGAGTGGAAACACGTTAATGAGGACTCGCAGGAGAAGAAAATCTTGCTGAGTCCTGAGCGTGTGCATGAGATCTTCAAGCGCATCGCGGATGAAGAAGACATCATCTTGGGCATGGACCCCAAGTTCGCCCGACCAGAGTGGATGATTGTAACTGTGCTGCCTGTGCCTCCACTGTCTGTAAGGCCTGCTGTAGTGATGCAGGGCTCAGCTCGCAACCAGGTAAAGGACAACCGAGACTTTTTTTTTTTTTTTTTTCCCCTCCCATATATGTGAGAGCATCCTAAATCATCATGACTTACTTAACTTCTGTTTTAAAGGATGACTTGACCCACAAACTGGCCGACATCGTCAAAATCAACAACCAGCTTAAAAGAAACGAGCAGAGTGGTGCGGCTGCTCACGTCATAGCTGAAGATGTGAAGCTGCTTCAGTTTCATGTTGCCACTATGGTGGACAATGAATTGCCAGGCTTGCCAAGAGTATGTGTGCACTTTCTGGCACCATAACGAAACAGATAAACATTCACGTGAGCTCATTATCATCTGCTATAACCAATGTTTTTCTACATCAGGCGATGCAAAAGTCTGGCCGCCCTCTCAAGTCCATAAAACAGCGTCTAAAGGGGAAGGAGGGGAGAGTGCGAGGTAACCTGATGGGGAAGCGTGTGGACTTCTCAGCTCGAACCGTCATCACCCCAGATCCCAACCTGCAAATTGACCAAGTGGGCGTACCACGATCCATTGCTGCCAACATGACCTTCCCAGAAATTGTCACACCTTTCAATATAGACAGGTACATTTTCATTTAACGTAATGATTTGTGCCTTCAAGAATTTTTTAATTTGAAGTGAACTTGTGTCAGCTAATTCGTTCGGATTATGTCTATCAGATTGCAAGAACTGGTACGACGAGGAAACAGCCAGTATCCCGGAGCCAAATACATCATCCGCGACAATGGAGACAGAATTGACCTGCGATTTCACCCAAAACCAAGTGATCTTCATCTGCAAATTGGCTACAAGGTAAGAAGGAAAAAATACATAACTAAAGCCTGACTTGATTTGCAATCCTGTGTATGTGTTCAGACTAAAAAGCACTATTTTCTGTGTAGGTGGAGAGACACATGTGTGACGGGGACATTGTCATTTTCAACCGACAACCTACACTACATAAAATGTCCATGATGGGGCACAGGGTGCGGATTCTGCCGTGGTCCACATTTCGACTCAACCTCAGGTACTCAATGACTCATCTTCTTGTCTTGAAAGTAATCTGAGTATCTTGAATTCGTTATGTTTAGTAAATCTTTTACTATATTTGTTATTAGCAGTTCCTAACGCTGTCAGTTGCAAATAGCTGTAATACAAGTGTTTTAGCGTTTCTAACATTTTGTCTCCATCCAGTGTCACCACGCCCTACAATGCTGACTTTGACGGCGATGAAATGAACCTCCACCTGCCACAGTCGCTGGAGACGAGGGCAGAGATTCAAGAGTTGGCCATGGTGCCTCGTATGATCGTCACACCGCAGTCCAACAGGCCCGTCATGGGTATCGTGCAGGACACTCTGACTGCTGTTCGCAAATTCACCAAAAGGGACGTCTTCTTGGAGAGGGTAAGGAGATTCGTTTCATCACCAGCAGTTCTTTCTCTTAAAGGATCCTAAATGCACAGTGCCTTTTGCACTCATTTAATTCTTTTATCCCCGTTACAGGGTGAAGTGATGAATCTCCTCATGTTCCTCTCCACCTGGGATGGGAAAATGCCTCAGCCGGCCATTCTCAAACCTCGTCCTCTGTGGACTGGCAAGCAGATCTTCAGTCTAATCATTCCAGGACACATTAATGTGATCCGCACACACAGCACCCACCCTGACGACGAGGACAGCGGTCCTTATAAGCACATATCACCCGGCGACACTAAGGTACAAAGGCCAGACCGTCTATGTATCAGTTACAGACTGGAAACTTATTACACTATAAGTAAACTATTTATGATCTCTTTCATCAGGTTATAGTGGAGAATGGTGAGCTGATCATGGGCATCCTGTGTAAGAAGTCCCTGGGAACATCAGCTGGCTCCCTCGTCCACATCTCCTACCTGGAAATGGGCCATGATATCACCCGACTCTTCTACTCCAACATTCAGACTGTGGTCAACAACTGGCTGCTCATCGAGGGTACAAAATCAGAAGTGGAGCTTTATCGCTATATTTCTGAATAGACATTAAATAAATATTCCCAAATTGATTGTTTTCATAATAAGCCCTTCTATTTTAACAGGTCATTCCATTGGTATTGGTGACTCCATTGCTGATGCCAAGACGTACCTTGACATCCAGAATACGATCAAGAAAGCCAAACAGGATGTGATAGAAGTAAGAACAATGTTTCATAAACGTCTCAAACTCGAGGCTGATTCTTATTCAGCTGGTTCACCAGTTTTTGCAGATAATAGTGTGAAATTTTATACAGGAAAATAATTTCTTTGACTCTCTGTCTGCCAGGTCATTGAGAAAGCTCACAACAACGAGCTGGAGCCGACCCCTGGTAACACACTGAGGCAGACCTTTGAGAACCAGGTGAATCGCATCCTTAACGATGCTCGAGACAAAACGGGATCCTCTGCCCAGAAGTCTTTGTCCGAGTACAACAACTTCAAGTCCATGGTGGTGGCTGGATCTAAGGGCTCAAAGATTAACATCTCACAGGTAAAGGAGTCCTCCTTACCACCTTGCATTAGAGTAATTGGATTTGATTGGAGTTCGAGACACTCGACTTGTCTTTCCTCCTTATTCAGGTTATTGCTGTGGTGGGGCAGCAGAACGTGGAGGGTAAGAGAATCCCGTTTGGCTTCAAACATCGCACATTGCCTCACTTCATCAAGGATGACTACGGTCCTGAGAGCAGAGGTTTTGTGGAGAACTCCTACCTGGCCGGCCTGACACCAACAGAATTCTTCTTCCACGCCATGGGAGGCAGAGAGGGTCTGATTGATACAGCTGTCAAGACAGCTGAGACTGGTAAGTCTGTGCAGTCTGACCAGAAAATGGAGAATAAAATTTAAACGCAGGACAAGATGTTTAAGGAAAAAAAAAATTGCCCCATTTATAGGTTACATCCAGCGTCGTCTGATCAAGTCTATGGAGTCTGTGATGGTGAAGTATGATGGCACAGTGCGGAACTCCATCAATCAGGTGGTGCAGCTGCGATACGGTGAGGACGGCCTGGCAGGAGAGAATGTAGAGTTCCAAAATCTGGCAACAGTGAAACCCTCGCACAAAGCCTTCGAAAAGAAGTGAGTCACGCACCTGACACCTGCATGTGTTCAATCACAGAAGTGGTGTTTTAAAATGATTTTAAGATCTGTGCTGAGCTTTTTATTCATTTTTTTTTTGAAGTGGTTAACATGCCTCATCTGGTATTTCCAGGTTCAAGTTTGATTGCACAAATGAGCGAGCACTGAGGCGAACGCTGCAAGAAGACGTGGTGAAAGACGTGATGACCAATGCTCATGTCCAGGGCACCTTGGAAAGGGAGTTTGATAAGATGAAGGAGGACAGGGAGATCCTGCGAGCAATTTTCCCTACTGGTGACAGTAAGGTGTGTGAGATCACAGTAATAGATGTGTCTGCTCTCTAACTCCACTGCCCCCCAAAAACCCTAAAGGTAGTAAACATGAATGCATCTAAAAACAAAACTATGGACGTTAGACGTCTGGTATAAATCTCATGTTGCACAGATGATTCACACATTTTTATTAAACTAATTAATAAAGCTGGAGTGTCTGTGGACCTTTGTGCACCCACTTTTCTTTCGGCCATGTTTCTGTCTGCTAATCATTCGTGAGAATAAATACATAGATCAGCATATTTCTTTTTAATGGGCCACAGATTTCCTCTGAGAGATGTCTTCACTTTTATAACCGGAGCCAGTCAAAATGTGGGACGCTGACTGAATTGTCCCACATAAAGTGTGACAACTGGTCAGCTTGACTACTGAGAATGCAGAAATACTCATTCTGCTATGCTGCTTCACCTGCAGGTGGTGCTGCCGTGCAACCTGGCCAGAATGATCTGGAACGCTCAGAAGATCTTCCGAATCAACCCTCGAACTCCGACAGACCTCCATCCTCTCAGAGTGGTCGAGGGTAAGCTTAAAAATAAGAAATCTCACTGAAGCTGCAGCTCTTTATGTTCAAGGATGAATTGTGCGTGTGGAGGCGTCGCTGGCTGTTGGAGCTGAGAGATCATGACCTGGCCTCAGGTGCTTCTTAAAGCTTTGTAAAGCCACTTGGTGAATTCCTGCCTGTTATATAACAAGCGGAATGATTAGATCAACATAGCTCCAGTGTTCTGACAGGGAGGAAAGGTGTTTATTTTTTCTGTAGCGTACATCACTGTAGACAAAATTTCAGTCTTTGTGCATTTGCATCCTCAGGTGTTCACGACCTGAGTAAGAAGCTGGTGATTGTGAATGGCGACGACCCTCTGAGTAGACAGGCCCAGCAGAACGCCACCTTGCTCTTTAACATCCACCTGCGCTCCACACTGTGCTCCAAGCGCATGACCGAGGAGTTCCGGCTGTCCACCGAGGCTTTCGATTGGCTGCTGGGAGAGATTGAGACCAAGTTCAACCAGTCTATTGTGAGTTTAGCACATTGACGCGAGGGGTTTAAGCGTTTTTAGGCTTCTGAACAGCTGAACATCACGTTTTGTTTTCCTGCACCTCCTTTTCCAGGCTCACCCCGGTGAGATGGTGGGTGCTCTGGCTGCTCAGTCTCTGGGAGAGCCAGCCACTCAGATGACCCTGAACACTTTCCACTACGCCGGCGTGTCGGCCAAGAACGTAACACTCGGTGTGCCCCGTCTGAAGGAGTTGATCAACATTTCGAAGAGGCCAAAGACGCCTTCACTGACTGTTTTCCTGCTGGGTCAGGCGGCACGTGACGCAGAGAGGGCCAAAGATATCCTCTGTCGGCTGGAGCACACAACACTGAGAAAAGTAAGAGGAAGTCATTGTATGTACCTTTATTTTGATGGGATCTAGAGGAAGCTACAGGAAGTGTCATTTTTCAGAAAATTGTTCGATCCTAATGTACAAGCTGGATTCTTTTTCTCTCAGGTGACGGCCAACACCGCCATCTACTACGATCCCAACCCACAGAACACGGTGGTGGCCGAGGACCAGGAGTGGGTGAACGTCTACTACGAGATGCCCGACTTCGATGTGACACGAATTTCGCCGTGGCTCCTGCGCATCGAGCTCGACCGGAAGCACATGACAGATCGCAAACTGACTATGGAGCAGATTGCAGAGAAGATCAATGCAGGTGGGGTGGACGCACATTTTCTTTTCTTTCTTTTTCCCTTTTCGGAATGAATTTACCATAATGTAACTGTGGCGTCTCTGTCAGGTTTTGGAGAAGACCTCAACTGCATCTTCAACGACGACAACGCTGAGAAGCTGGTGCTGCGAATCAGAATCATGAACAGTGATGAAAACAAGTTCCAGGAGGTGAGCAGCAGTGATGATTTTAATAACAGTAAATTCACTCTAGTCAGATTTTATATTTATTCATTTTCTTTATTTTTAATTTTTTGTTTCCTGTCTAGGACGAGGAGGTGGTGGACAAGATGGATGACGACGTCTTCCTGAGGTGCATCGAGTCCAACATGCTGACGGACATGACTCTGCAGGGCATCGAGCAGATCAGCAAGGTAATGGATAACGCACATTTTAATGATTGCTGCAGGAAAGTTAATGTTCTCAAACTCCTCCCTAAAGCCTGATTATAAGTTAAAGGTGCACCTCCTCTCCTTCAGGTGTACATGCACTTGCCCCAGACTGACAACAAGAAGAAGATCATCATCACAGAGGACGGTGAGTTCAAAGCCCTGCAGGAGTGGATCCTTGAGACGGACGGAGTGAGTCTCATGAGAGTGCTCAGCGAGAAAGACGTCGACCCCGTCAGGACCACCTCCAACGACATTGTGGAGATATTCACGGTACAAAAGCATAAAAATGTTTTTTATCTCAGTGGAGCAAAATACTGTTGTTTTTTGTTTGTTTTTGTTGTCCTTGTTATTTACTTTCCCTTCTCCTCTCCTGCTTTTTCTCTCTGTTAGGTCTTGGGAATTGAGGCTGTGCGAAAGGCTCTGGAGAGGGAGTTGTACCACGTCATCTCCTTCGACGGTTCCTACGTCAACTACCGCCACTTGGCTCTGCTCTGTGACACCATGACCTGCCGAGGTCACCTGATGGCCATCACCCGTCACGGCATCAACCGCCAAGACACGGGACCGCTCATGAAGTGTTCCTTCGAGGAGACGGTATGAGAACTAACTACTGAATTATTTTTAATCTGAATCATGAAGATTTTGTCCTCATAGTTATGTTCTTTTATTTTCTGTTTAGGTGGATGTGTTGATGGAGGCGTCATCCCATGGAGAGTGCGATCCCATGAAGGGTGTGTCAGAGAATATCATGCTTGGCCAGCTAGCACCAGCGGGGACCGGCTGCTTCGACCTACTGCTGGACGCTGAGAAGTGCAAATACGGCATGGAGATTCCCACAAACATACCCGGCATCAGCGTGGCTGGACGTAAGTGGGGGAAAGTGTGTTGGATAGAACCAGGGATCGTTTGTATTGCAGATTTATTTATTTATTTTTTACTTTTTCTTTTTTCTTTATACGATATTTATGTTCCGTCTCCATCCGATTTGCAGCCACGGGAATGTTCTTCGGCACTGTGCCCAGTCCCATGAGCGGCATGTCCCCTGCTATGACCCCATGGAACACCGGAGCTACCCCAGCCTATGGCGCTTGGTCTCCCAGTGTTGGTAAGTGTGTGTGTGTGTGTGTGTGAGCGCCTACATTGCTTTGTGTGTGGGTTTTTTTTTTTTTCTTGTTTGTTTTTTTATTTTGTTCTTCATTTACTGATGTTTGATTTTTCATTTACCCTCCAGGCAGCGGCATGACCCCTGGAGGAGCAGGGTTCTCCCCCAGTGCAGCATCAGACGCAAGTGGCTTTTCTCCTGGTTACTCCCCTGCTTGGTCTCCCACTCCTGGCTCTCCAGGATCTCCGGGACCTGCCAGCCCATACATCCCATCTCCAGGTTAGATACTGACTGGGCACATTTGATCTCTTGTTTGGGCAGTTACCTTGGATACACGCTTCATAATGTCTTCAGATCCATTTGTTGAGTTGTGTTAAATCTGCATGCATTAAAGTCAAAGACTCATCCTGGATGGTTTCTTACTCATCTCCAAAATGTCTCTTCTTCTTTAGGTGGAGCCATGTCACCAAACTACTCCCCCACTTCCCCCGCCTACGAGCCTCGTTCCCCAGGTGGCTACACCCCACAGAGCCCGGGCTACTCCCCTACCTCTCCGTCCTACTCCCCCACATCTCCCTCTTACTCTCCCACCAGCCCCAACTACAGCCCGACATCTCCTTCCTACTCGCCCACCTCGCCCAGTTACTCCCCAACTTCTCCTTCCTATTCGCCCACGTCTCCTTCCTACTCGCCGACGTCTCCCTCCTACTCCCCCACCTCTCCCTCCTACTCCCCCACCTCCCCCTCCTACTCTCCCACTTCGCCCAGCTATAGTCCGACGTCGCCGAGCTACAGCCCGACGTCGCCCAGCTATTCACCCACCTCACCTTCTTACTCTCCCACCTCGCCTTCTTACTCCCCCACCTCTCCATCCTATTCGCCCACCTCCCCTTCGTACTCCCCCACGTCTCCTTCCTACTCGCCGACCAGCCCGAGCTACAGCCCCACATCACCAAACTACACCCCCACCTCACCCAGTTACTCCCCTACCTCCCCATCTTACTCCCCGACATCGCCGTCTTACTCCCCAACGTCTCCCAACTACACCCCGACCAGCCCCAACTACTCACCCACTTCTCCCTCGTACTCACCCACCTCTCCGTCATACTCGCCTTCCAGTCCACGCTACACCCCGCAGTCGCCCACTTATACGCCCAGCTCACCATCATACAGCCCCAGCTCGCCCTCTTACTCCCCCACCTCACCCAAATATACTCCGACCTCGCCTTCATACAGCCCCAGCTCCCCAGAGTACACTCCCACCTCCCCCAAATATTCCCCCACGTCACCCAAGTACTCCCCAACATCGCCAAAGTACTCTCCCACTTCTCCTACTTACTCTCCGACGACTCCAAAATACAGCCCCACCTCTCCCACCTACTCCCCCACCTCCCCCACCTATACCCCCACCAGCCCCAAATACTCTCCTACATCCCCCACTTACTCCCCAAACTTCACCAAATACTCACCCACATCTCCCACGTACTCGCCGACTAGTCCCAAAGGCTCGACATACAGCCCCACCTCCCCTGGATACAGCCCCACCTCCCCCACCTACAGCCCGGCCATCAGCCCTGACGACAGCGACGAGGAGAACAACTGATGAGCTGCGCAGGAGAAGGGGAGGCGGCTAAAAGAAATAACAGAACGGGGACGAAGCTCCATCGCCTCGTGGGAGACAACTAAACGGACAGCATCTTTAAACAGCTGGAGGTGACGGAGCTTTTAGCCACTGGAGGGTCCCAGCTGTGATCATTTCCTGTGAGGAAAACTCAAGCCTGGGACCATCCGAAGGAGCTGCCACCCCCTCCCCCCCCCCCCCCCCCCCCCCCCCCCCCCCCCCCCCCCCCCCCCCCCCAAAATAAACAAAAAAAGAAGAAACAAAACGTAAACATTTTGAACTGCTTTGCCTGAAGGAAAAAAAGGCTGCCTTTTTGAAATAGTTTTTTAATTTTCACTTGGGGTGTTGAAGCAAAACTGAGAATCCCTCAAGAGGATGAAAAGGAGAGGAAGATGTGGTGAATATTTAAACTGTGGAGGGGGAAATGAGTCTCTTTTTAACTTTATAGTGTCCTGCATCCAGTCTCTCTCTCTTGCTCTTATTAATTAAATGGTTGTTTTTTGTTTTTTTTTGGTTCCTGGAACGCGTACATATTGCCAAAAGCCTTTTCCGAAAAGCTAAGCAGATTGTATTCATCACCAAAAGCATAAGCTGGAAGGAAAATCAAGGAGGGTTAGCCTGCGCCTTTTTGTTTACTGCACATTTCACCGAGGTGTGTCTTGTGAGACCCCCTGCCCAATTTTTTCTTTTTCTCCTGCTTTTGTAGAAGAACACTTGCTGCCAGTTGCTTTGGGGGCTCGAGTGCAATTACATTAAAACATGTCGTCTCCATTAACGCATCCATTACAGGAGAGAGAAACTGGCATGCAGTTTATACAAAAAAAGACGCTTCTCATTCAGAGCATCTTCGACTGCATAAGCGTATGTACCCATCGGCCTCGCACTCTTCCTCCTTCACACCCCAGAGCGCTGAATGATGTCATAAACACCCGCCAGCATCCTATTGTCCTCTGCTATTTTGGAGACTTGTGCATCAAAAGCAAAAAAAAGAAGAAAACTTTTCCAAATGATCTTCCCCTGATGCGGGAGAATTTAAAGATTTCTATTAAATAAAATAGAAGGATTGTCTTTACTTTTGAGTTCAGGAGGAAATGGGGCAGCCGTGGATGAGGGATACTAGTTTGGCATTGCTGCTTCTGTCACTGTTTGCATGAGTAACACATGTTGATACATTTTGATCAAGCTTTAGTTTGAGCATTTTTTTCCCACATCCATCTGGCTTTTCACTAATCATTGTCCCATCTCTGATAGCTGATTTGTACACAGGTTTATTTGGACTATTTAAGAAAGAAAGTTAACTACTATTCTGTGTGAATAGAGACAAAGTAAGACTTCTTTTTGGCTTTTCACTTGTTTGCTTTTGGTGATTTTTGTAAACCTGTTTCCAGGAGGCTCATGTTCACACACTGTGGATGAAGAGGGCAGGGGGTGAAGGAGGAGTGCTTTATGTTTTTACATTTTTCTCCCACTCATGACTTACTTTTCTGTTCACTCTCAGCTGTATCGCATTTCGCCCGATGTCACCAGGTTGTGAGAGAGGAAAGGTTGAACTTATTTTTATTTTGTCCTCGGTAAGAGTAACGATTTTGTTTTTTCTTTGAAAGCGGAGATCGTCCAGAGAAACTGCGCCTTTGGCCTCTCTTTAAAACACTGTTACCCACTACATTAGTGTGAGCTTTCTTTTCAGTGCGGGTGCTTTCTCTCGTGCTTTGATGATGTCAGGGAACAGTCTGTACCCCGATGGAAAAACTCATCTGAATATTTTGGACTTGCTGGATCCCCTTCCCTTTTCCCTCTTCATCCATGAGTGATCCTCATTTCTGAAAATCAGTGTTTGTTTTTGTTTTTCTTTCTACAAGTGTACCTGTGACGAGGGGAATCATAGGGAGGAGAGCAGGTGTTGGATGTGATTGGGAGTCCCGAGGCATCGGTTGGGTTTTGTTCTGAAAATCTTCAAATGTCTACTTTTGTAAAACACTGCTTCCCCAATGGGTGTTGAATTTAAAGGACTGCATCCCTCTGGCCTTTGACAGAACCCAGGTTTGGTGACTGCACTCAGTAAATATCTCGTTGGACGCTATGTCTGCATCCAATCCTGTAGTCTTAAATATGTGCTGTTCTCTCAATGCAGGTCATCGGGACTCCCAGTGCGAATGAATGAATGGGAGTGTGTGCGTGAGTGAATGAAGGGTGATGCAGAGTGTAAAGCTGAGGAATGACTTTACATGTGTGGGCAAAGGAAGGTTTAAATTAAAGTTGCCACTGTATAGAAATCAAGTCATGATCTCATTCTGTATCTGTTCTTTGTTTTTGACTTGAAAAAACCGAATAAAAGTTTTACTATAAAATTCTTTTGTCTTTTTTAAATCAGCGTCTACGTTTAGTAATTATTATTTCAGGCACTTATAAATTTGATAGCAGCATTCAGTTTTCCTGCTAATAAAATGTAAATTGAATGGAGAAACTTAAAATGCATCTGGAAAGTATTCTCAGCCATTGTGTCATATTTTGTCATTTCAGTCTTACTCCAAAATGGATTAAATTCACTTTTCATCTCAAAATTCTGCACACAATAAGTCCAGTGAATTGTCTGCTGATCTCTGTGACAGGATTGTATCAAGGCGTGGAGGTCCCAGTGAACTCAGCAGCTTCATCTCTAAATGGAAGAGGTTTGTAAACCAGCAGGACTCTTCCTAGAGCTCTCTGCCTGACCAGTCAGGGAGGTGACCAAGAACCTGATGGTCACTGTAACAGAGCTCCGACGTTGCTCTGTGGAGAGAGGAGAGCCTTCCAGGAGGACGATCATTTCTGCAGGATTCCACCAATCAAAACTGATCGAATGAGCAGACTGGAGCCACTCGGTCTCAGAAGCCTGGAAAAAAGGCAGTTTTGTCCAGGATGACTTAGTTTTAAGTTACACATAAATTAACAAGTAAAGCTCTCTCTGCTTTCATATTAAACAGCTTCTGTCTCCCTCTTTGCAGCCAACCTTTACGTCACTGCCATCTTGTGGCCACAAGATGGCAGTGACTTATTTGTGGAGACTTTAAAAGGAAGTCAGTAATTTGGAATCATGTTTGACAAACTTTCATTAGGAAAGTCCAGATTTTCACTTGATTCCCATTTTCCTCACGTGTTGGGGACTCACTCTGAAAGCATGTTTGATTTACATCATCATGTTGGGACATTTTCTTCAGCAACTTATTTAGATAGAACTATAAATCCCTCGGGTGGGTTCCTCTGGAAAATTCAGTAAATTGATCTCTTATGGATCTATAAATTAGAGAGGCTGATGCTGTCAGAGGTGTAAACTCCCACCAGTTCACTGGATGGGCTTTTTGTAAGGTGACACTGCAGAGAAGCAGCTCTGAACAAACCATTATTTGTAACTGAAACGGTCAAAAGCTCATCTTAAAAATGAAGCCGTGACAAATGAATACAGAGCTGAGGTATGAGGTCCTTTTAATGTGTTCCTGTTTGAAGCTCATTGATTGCTTTGTGCTTATTCTCCTGTGTATTCGTCACTGCGAGATCCTTTCAGTGTTTGCTCCTGCTTTGAGCTGATTTCAAACATCATGTTGATGTTTGTGTTTGACTTTCTATCACAGACACGTCAACACTGACAAGCTTGAAGTTGAGGAAGACTGTGTCCAGCAGGAGGCTGAGTGGATCTCAAAGTCTTTGCCCCCCTGCAGAAACCTCCTCTCCCAGTGGGAGCTGGAGTGCCTTGGGTAAGAGTCGTGAACATATGTTCAGTATGCAGCCAGTATTCAGCTAAAGTCAGTGACTTGAAGAGCAACAGAAACATGTACAAGGAGGAGAAAATCTTCTGACTTCCTCCTCTTTGTGCTCGTGTTTGAGATTGCCTAACCTGAAGCAGACATGCTACATGAACCCCACTCTACAAGCATGATTGCTCTTTCCTTTATCCACCAAGTTTGCAAATCATTACCAGGAAATATAAACTAACCTTCTCTCTTCTTCACCGAGTTCCTCCGCTGAGTTCTCCGCTCGAGTGTGAGTCCTCTGAGCTATAGGCAGATGTAGCTGTCGCCAACAAGTCTTACCTCTGCCCTGTTAGACTTCACATTAACCTCAAGATGTTGAGCTGCAAAAAGTAGGAACATGGTAAACTTTGAATGTTTTAATGTTGCTGTTGATATTTCTTAATCACCGTTGAGTCTGTACTGTTTGAAATTATGGGATTCTGCAGATGTGGTGTGCAGTTCTTTAGGTGGGAGGACTACCTTCTTACTTTCAGGTATGTGTGCAGGCACTGCTTTGACTTTCGGAGTCAAAAAAGTCAAACTGCAGAGGGTTATTTACTGGACTTTTAGAATTAGTGAGACTGTAAATTATGTCATCACCTGCACTAATTGGAGGTCACTAATCCTGGCATAAGTAAACAAATTAAAGTCCTCAAACTAACTGAGAGAAGTAAAACTGACTGTTTTTCCTTATTTAGTGCAACAGCTCCTCAAGTACTGAAACATACTGCAGCTTTCATCTGGCTGAGCCTTTTCTTTTTAGATTTATAACATTTACACACTGTGCCTGAGAGAAAACACACTTGACTGACTGCAATAATATTCAAACGCCACTAGATGTCCCCCTAATGCCTCTTATCATCCAGCCTCTGTGTTGGTCTTCCAGTTCGGCCTGTTTTCAGTGTGGTTGTAGCCCATGGGGCTTGGCCTTTAATATGGAGATGGTACAAGGGCTTGCTCCAAACTGTGCCATAGGCCCTCTTCAGATCAGTCAAACATGGCACAAAACAGGTAGCCAATCAGAATTGCAAAACAGGAGCCAGTAGCAAAAGAAACTGTTCGGCACTGGCAGAGAAGATTTGGTAAGTTTTTCATGGGCGCAAACATCGCACTCAACTCTGCTGCCCAACCAACAATTGGGTTGAGCAGCAGCATCATTTGAGTGAAAAGGCGGGGCTCTAGAGTGCGACCAATTTCTCAACAGTGCAAAAAAATAAAAAATCTAATCAAAAAATCAAAAATCGAATGGCCCCATTCAGCAAAAACAAAAAAACAAAAGTCTCCGCACTCTGATAGTCTCCATGTAATCAACAACAACAAACACACATTATGCCCATATCATGGTCTAAACCAATCAGAGATAGTCAGGGGCGGGACTTCTCTGATTGGCCGTGGTCCAGATATTTCTGTAGCTCTTCTTGTCTACATTTGAAAGTGCGGCGGATAGAGGGAGGTGAGTAGCGTGATTAACGCAATATCGATTCATTAAATCCTGAATCGACTTTTAAGTATAAACGTATTTTTGACAGAAACGCCAGAATCTCAGGTTAAAGTTCACAAAACTATTTCAACAACCACCAAACAACTAAAACGGTAAATGAGAGCAGGTTAACGGATTCGACATAAAAACGTCAGAATCAGCGAGATGTCGGTTTTCTGACCTAACGGCACGTACACGGACACGCTGAAAGTCGAAAGCACAGATCCGGTCTTTGTGTTTACCTCACTTTTATGCGCTAGATTCTGATGCTGCAGGTTTTTTTTCACTCTCCAACCAAAACTGACTGAACCAGCAGCAAAAAAAGATCCAAACTATGCTTCACATTTGATAAACATCGTCACGAATTCCCTCTTACTTTTGCTGTTTTGCTTCCACCACCATAAAATAGCACATCTGGCACAGCTGCTCTCTCTCTCAGTATACTTCAAGAACAGTTTTCTGTCTCAAATCTCTGTTTTCTGCATTATTCGTTTGCTTATTACGCACAAGTTATGTATAGTGCTGTCGGCTGTCTTTTTTCTTTTTTCAAAATGACCTCCCAAAAAGATATATAATTTTATATATATATATATATATATATATATATATATATATATATATATATATATATATATATATATATATATATAGACATTATATATATAATGTCCTGTGTTTAAATAGCGAGAAATCTCCTTCAGTGTTTTCCTGTTTTTATTCTCAGTTACTTTCAACAAAGGCATCTGCTGTGATTTTCACAATTCTGATGAAGTCTCATGTGTATCAGTACTGATAAATGATCAGAATTATAATATTTCTGAGTGTCTGAGGCAAAATTGAATCAAATCGAATCGGGACTTCGTGAATCAGAATCAAAATTATTATAGAAATCAGTGATGATACCCAGCCCTAGTGAGTAGCCTAGGCCCGACAGAAGTGGATGTAGCTGCAGGTAATGAGAAAAGATGAAAAGAAGGATTGATAACTTTTTCGTTAAGGCCTGATCTGTGTGAAATTCATAGCCAGTGCTCTGACACAGAGCCATCAACGCTGAAAAAGCACAGTGTATCCAGAAAGCTCATTATATGCTGCGATAAATGCACTGCCCAAGTTTCCCCTCTCCCCACTGCCTTTAAGCAGCAGTCAGCAGCAAACAGGTCGTCAGAGGAGGCCGATGTGATTAAGTTTAACATTGTCTACAATATTGCCAAAGAGTGCCAGAGTGCCATAGCACTTTAAGCACAAGCACTTTTTAAGTAACTTATCCTTCCTATAGAACTGTGCTCCAAATAAAGAACTTTGTTAGTTAATCATTTACAAATCAATAATGTCTGTATGGACAGCAAGTTAAAAAAAAAAAGTGAACTTGATTAAGCAATGCGGTTGAAAAATTTGGGTGCACCTAGCCTTTGTTTTGTGCAGCATTTACAGGGTGTAAACCCACTTCCCTTTGGGGAAGGTTTTGTTTAAAGTTTGCTTGGTCACCTGGTTAGATTTACTGCTTCTGTGATTCTTGAGTCACTTGAGTCTTGTGATAGTCGTGGACAAAGCTGAACTTCTGTGTCTTCTTCTTTTGAAGTTATCATTGGAGACGATGCTTGACACGTACACACTGACATACGTCCACAGACGTAGACCTCCATTTGTGGTCGTAGGTAAGAACTGGTGCCACGCTGACCTCAGCAGGACCATCATCAGACAGATGACTTTAATGTGTGTTCTGTTTTTGTCTCAGGATGTTTCCAGGTGATTTTGTTTGTCATGCACATTGCTCAGCTCATCATGGGTAAGCACAGGTGCACTCACTGTTAGACAGATGTAGACATTTTCATAAATGTATACAGTTAGGTATTTTTCTGTGTCCTAAAAGGAGCATTGAACCTCCATGACTGTCCCAGGGAGCCCTTTATTCCCATCTACCTGCTGGTGGTTGGAGTGGTGACCTTGCTGTTCTCCATCCTTCAGTGTCTCCACAACTGCAGGAGCGCCTGGAGCTGCCTCGTTTCACTCTTCGTCTTCTGCTGGTTCATTGCTGGTAAGCTGAAAAATGGAAGAAAGCAGTTTTGTTTTGTTTGTTTGCTTCCCAGAAAGCAAATGTAAGACTCAGCATGTAGGTAAAACCTTCAGACATTCTCACCCAATTACTTCCTGATCTTACTGCTCATATGTTACTTCCACTGGTTGCCTTGGCTACCTCCTCCAGACCACACTATTTATGTGTGTCGCTGCATTGTTAAATAAACTAACACTGTCTGCACTTCAGTCAAATCTTGATTGTTTGATTTTAAATTCACTCTGCTGGTGAACAGAGGTAAATAAAATAATGTGGAACCCATTGATTTCATGTATGAAAGTTCTTGGTATGGGCAGCACCAAAAAACCAATAAAGCATGTGAGAGAAACAGATATGGTAGGTGTACCATAATAACAAACATTCATCAGCGTTATGTTAATGAATCACACAAGTGCACTGGAGAAAGAAAATAAAAGTCATGAAACTCTTCACTTCTATATTAAACATTTTATTTTTGCTCTGTCTTTCAGGAAACGTGTGGATCTACTCCGTCTATGAGCCCAACTACAATAAGACAGCGAGCCCACATATGTACTGCGACAAAACACTCTACCTGTTTGCCTTCTGGACCATGAACCTGAACTACATCCTTTTAGGCTTCTCGCTCTTCTGTCCCTGTTGCTCGTGCTTTTTTGTTTTGCCTTTACCCTATGGTGAATAAACAAAAAGCAATGAATACTGTGGATGGTGGTTTATGTTGAATAATGATTTTAAAAGGTTATCTTACGTCATGTTGTAATATGGCACGTTCATCATTGGCTGATGTGTTAACAGGTTCCTTTCATGTGAGAATATGAAAGCAAAGACATTTATGTCCTGGTATGCTGTTGTATTATTTTAATGTTGCCTCTTGAGCTTCGCTAGTTTTGTGTTTCTTTAGTATAAAGTTGAATGTCTTTCATTATTCATATTGCTCCTCTGGCAGTTCTCATTCACTAACTTGTGCTGTGACTGTTAGTCGAAGTAGTTTGGACTTTCCAGCAGTAACGTTGTGACTTTAAGTCACACGCAGTCATGGTCAGAGTGGTTGCATACATACAGGTGTCAGCACTGGTTTTTAAACAATGATATCTGGGTCTCTCAGCAGAACATTCAAAGGTAAACATCTGTAACTTGCTTTATCCAAGTGGGTCTGTAGAACATTTTTTATGAACGAGTGCATTTATATAATACTGTAATAATTCAAAGAAAAAAAGGGATGTTATTTCTTCATTTTTGTGGTTCTCAGTCAAGGCCACACATCTATATTAGAGACTCGGGGGGAGGAGACACGCAACCATGCGAGACAACATGACAAAAGATAAGAAGAGACTCTGACAAGAGATCCACTCAAGATAACAGGAGAAGAGGAAGCGGGTGGGAACACAGCTTAAACTGAACAGAAGACAGAGAACAACAATCACCAAAATAAAACAGGAAGAGAGACTAACAAGATTAACTTGAGACAAGTAAACAAGAGAACTAGATAGACAACAAAACAAATACAGAGACGAGACTGGAGGAACAGAATGATTAAGGAGAAAAGGAGAGTAACCAAATACTACATCACCAAGACAAAGAACTTAAGCATAACATAATTAAGTCTTGGCAAAAAAACCAAACAGAGACTGCTGGGTGATAATAGGTAAACAGAAATAATATGGTTTATATTACAGAAGTAAAACTCAAATGATCCTCAAACCCTCAGAAAAAACAAAACCCAGAGTCCAAGACCCAGGGACCAACACAGGTCTGTATATGAAGCGTGTCACAGAAGAGCCAGAGAGTAGGGGTGAGCTATTGTACAAAGTAAGTTTGGCAGCTGTTAGTGTTGCATTTTGTTTTATGTTGAAAGGATTTGCTGTCACGTTCATCAAAAGGAGCTCAAAGCCACATCTTGGATCCTGACCTGACCGACACGCTCATATCTGTTAGTTGAATCCCTCTGTCGCTCTGCCTTTCAGCCTCAGATACTTTTATTTTGTGTCTCAATAAATTATGTTTAGTTATTGAAATACATATTATTTACATGACAAACATCTTTGTTTGTTTTCATTAAGATCAAGGACTTAAATAGGGGAAACATTTCCTTTGAATCTTTAGAGTAAACAAAAGGAATTGGAACAAATGGTGTGTTTCTGTTACAGGCTGCTAGTAACAAATTGTGTCTAAAGACAGATTTTTAGAAATCTAAAAATCAAAACCTTAAATTAACACAGGACCAGAAGAAAACCTAAAAATTTAAATTTCATTAAAAATAAATAAGTGATAAATCACATCAACCCCCAAACTAAGGGTTCTTCCTTTACCTACCCTAACCCCTATGTGAAAAGGCTACTGTGGGGTCTTGGGTGCGAGTCTGTACCGGGTGTTCACTGCATGTCATTCCCCACATTTTCCTGCCTACTTTACTCACCTATCAAAACTACAGGCTAAAAAGCCAAAATAAAAAAAAATAAAAAATCTAATCAGTAACCACAAAAACTCCTCTTCCTCTCAGTGCCATGAGAGCAAATGTTAAAGTGAAAGACGCTGTAACAGGAAGCTTAGACAACAACACTTTCACACACAATAAATATTACCAAGTTCTCAGGAAATCATTCTTTTCTTTGCTTCACAGACGGCGCACAGACAGGTAGGGCTTCAACTGACTACTTAATGCTATCACATAACACATTTAAGCTTGATTTGTATGTTAAGTAATACTTTCACACACTTCGCATTTTCTGATTTGTCATCCTTCTGACACTCTTATCTTTGATTTACCTGACATATACAGACAACCTGAGCTCGTCTCACAGCTTCCTTTGTGTCTCTGTAGGCTTCATTACTAGCTCGTCATGATGCCAGAGAGTGATAGACCTCAACACACTTGCATACCTCAACCAATAAGTAAGAAAGTGATTTTGAACAGTTTTGCACACATCTGCTGCTGCTGCATGGTGTCATTTGTGAATGAAACCATATCGTGTCTGCTGTCCGTCAGATTTGATCTCCATGGTATTCTTCATCATGTTTGTTGTTCAGGGGATAGTTGGTAAGTGAGAGAGGCACTATAATCAGAATGAATTTATCTACATTCATTTAATGTGTTGGAAATAAAACTTGAAAATTGAAATGACATAATGAAATAATGAACTGTGGAACAGCAACTTGACACTCCTCATTTTCGTGTTTGTAGGATTTGTGCACATTAATAACTGTCCAAGGCGCCATTCATCCCCATCTATATGTTCCTCTGTGGTCTCATAATCGTCTTCTCTGTACTGAGCTGTTTGAAGAACTGGTGCAATATTTTCTGTTGCTAAATGAACAGACTAAATGAACAAGTAACTGAGAAATAGAAAATAATCCTCTCGATGACAAAGTTAGGATTTAGCTAAAGGAGTGGCTGATTGCAGATTCCTCTTAGAAACACTGGTTACAGTGATGTCACATGTAGGACTCTATCCACCAGTTTTTGGGGTATATTTACGTGCGATCATAGCAACACCTACAATAAAAAGAAATAAAAATAAACAAATAAATAAATAAATGTACAGAACAAAAAGAACTCAAATCTGACTTCTAGACAGCACATTTTTCTTCAAGTAATTTGCGCCACTTCTTCCAAGTCCAGCAAAGAACTGACTGCAATAACATTCAAAGACCACTAGATGTCCCCCTAATTCCTCTAATCACACAATCCTTAATGCCTCCCTTTTGATTTCAAGCATTTATTTTATTTTATTTTATTTTATTTTATTTTATTCATCACACCAGCCTTCGTCATGGCTGTAGTTACTGCTACTACTGATAAGAATAAAATTAAACATTATTACTCCTTCCTGATCAGCTCCAGTGCTGATCCCCCAGCAGACCACAGTAAAGTACGCTGTGCTCACCACAGCTGACTGATGGAAAATCAACATCACTTTGCACATCACCAAATCAGCGACCGCTCTGCCCAGCCTCACACACTGTGTCCAGTCTGTCAGATAGTCAGTAATCCATGAGATGGTGCACGTGTTTACTGACACTTCCTGTTGTCCTCCTCTCAGTAGCAGCAGCGGGCCATGTCACGTGAAGTTTATTTACTGTAACATGCCAATAAGAAATCTGAGTGCACCCAGTGTAAAAATGCTCAGTTAGTGTCCGATGACCTGAAGAAGATGAAGCTGCTGATGTCTCGTGTTTCATCATCATCCTCCATTGCTGATGCTAGCTGCAGCTCTGTCAGTGAATTTGGATTCCAGGCTCAACTACTGTACACTCTTCAGGTTTTAGATATATTTTCTGATTGACCGGGTGCTTTATCAGGTTTTATGTGTTGCCATGGTTATTTCTGAGAGCTTTGTCAAGTTATGAAAAGTTTAAACACGCATGAGACAACTTGCAGCTCACCACCGTTGTCTTGCCATTTTTGTTTGTTGGTCTTCAACACATCAGAGGATCGCTGCTCGCTCCTCTGACACTCTTGTTCTTCCTCTAATCCAGACGTGTTCTGGTACCAAAGTTTGACACCAGCTGATTTATTAGTACAGACGGTTGGTATCCTAAAAAGTAGAGTTTGGTATACAAACCTACTGTTTCTACTGTTGGCGTCTCCTTCTTTGTAAGTCAGCCAGTGTGGTTGTGTTAGTCGCTCTGGCACAAACAGCACACCAAAGCTGATCCAAGTGTTCAGTGGGTTTGAGGTCAGGACTGCAGGCAGGTATTACCATCCAAACTCCACCTCTGTCAGGGCGAGCGTTGTAGCGATTGCCACTGGTTTCAGTCTTGTGTTCCCAGTGATGCGGATGCTGACGCACACTATCACAATGACTCAAAACTTCATGGTATCTGTGTATCTTCGCTGATGTCTGCTCGTCACTTATCCATTTTTTAAAATTTCTAAAACAGTAACTGTAATTGAGAAAAAAAGACAGATTTCTTGCAGTTTTCATTCATACTCACGATAAAATGAAAATGTACCTAAAGCAGGAGGAATTATCCTGGAATTTTGAACTGTTTGACATTTGCTGCACAGAGCCAACAACACCAAAAACAGTTTGGGGTGTTGTTCTTTAAGGAATATGGCTGAAGGACAAGTATTACAGTGAAAGTCACTGTAAAAGGAAGTGTAGACAGCAACACTTTCAATCTGACTGCACTATATATTGCCAAGTTCTCGTGAAACCGTTCTCTTCAAAGACAAAGACCTATCAGTCGTGCAAACAGGTAGGCCTTAATCCAATCACTTAATACATTTAAGGTTTATTTGATAACTATTTGATATACATTTATATCCATTTGTTATTCAGATTTTTGACATGCTGTATGTTCAGTATCATTTCATTTTCACAGACTAACGAATAACTGTTTGTAATTTGTCATACTTATTCTAGACTTATCGTTTCTTTTACCGGACATATAGACAGCTTGAGCATGTCTCACAGCCTTGTTTGTGTCTTTGTAGGTCCATTTATAATTAGTCATAATGCCAGAGAGTGAAAGACCTTATTTCACTTGGATACGTCAAACAATAGGTGAGAGAATGATTTAAAATGTTTTTGCACACGTCTGCAGCTGCAGCTTGGAGTCATTTGTGACTGAAATCACTTTGTGTCTGCCTTCCTTCAGCTTGCACCTTGCTGGTTTACCACATCATGTTTTTTCTTCAGGCGATCACTGGTAAGTGACAGACGCTCCATATTCAGATCGCTTTCATTTTAAATATATTTTATGAAAACAATGTTTAAAAAAATGAAATAACCAAAATGATGTAATAACCATTTGACCGTCTTTATTTTCATACTTGTGGTTTGCAGGGTTGGTGCACATTAATGATTGTCGAATCGACCCCTTCATCCCCGTCTATCTGTCTGGTTATGGATTCATAGCCGTGTTCTGGTTGTGGTCTAAGAGGTGGTGTGGTATCATCCTTTGGTCTGCATCCATCGCCATTGTCTTTATGTGGTTCATCATGGGTAAGCGTTATAAATTACACAGTTTCTTAACAGTGCAGTACTGAGAAATATTACACACAGTCTGCATAGCATAAAAAAATAACAACACGAAAACCCAGAGATTTTTCACAAGAGTAAAATTATTGGTGATTATTGGTGAAATGAACAAGTGGACAAATATCCCTATTGCTGCTTTGTGCTTGCTTGAAGTGTAAGAAGTTCCCATCACTCTTATTTCCTTTTACATGATCACAGTTTTAAATAATAAAGTTATTGTAGATGCAAATAATCTTCATGAGATTAATATGACTGAAGGTCAGGCTTCAGGCTGTAATGAATGCTAATACAAAAGAAGAGTCACAATTCACAAACTGTGATGTGTTGTTTTCTGCTGCTTTCAAGTGGCTGAAATTCACTGGTGCAGCTTTTAAGAAGAAGAGCTTTGAAACTAAATAGAAATAAATAATTGAATAATTGATTCCATGCTCCCTCTGTTCCGTTTCTTCCTTGTCACTCTTGTCTCTGTGCTCCATGGTCTGTTTTTGTGCCTCCCTAAACCTGTCGTGTCTACGTCGCTGTGTCAAATCTGCTTTTCTGCTTCCTGTTTTATTTTGACAGTCTCCCATCGGGGTGCGTAATGTCCTGTTTTGCCCACCTCAAAAAAGACATGTCAGCCGTGTCTCCCAGCTGTTTCCTCTTGTTCACCACTTGTATTTAGTGTCTGCGTCTTTCCCTGCTCATCGTCTTGTCGTACCCTGTGTGCGCGCATTTGTGTCTTATTTTCCTGCCTCCTGCACACAGACCATGACGGTAGCCAATCATGATCAAGCTTTCTTAACTGATTCCCTTATATTTCTCCAGGTACCATTCGCATCTACTCCGTTTATCAACCTGACTACAACAAGAACACTAAAGACCCCGATCATTACTGCGACAAGACGCTCTACCTGTTTGCATTTTGGACCACCAACCTGGCCTTCGTCCTGTTAGCTGTTCTTTTTTGCTCGTATTCTTTAGCTGTTTATTTTCTGATAGAAAGTGATGACAGTGAGGCTCAAACGCTGCTTGGGGATAACCAAAATAATGCAATGTTTATAGTTAATTTTTTTCAGAGGTAAATCTCATTGAGACATGAGGTCTCAATTTTCAAGAGCAACCTAAACATGACTGAATCGAAATCATAATTCACTTACTTTAACTTATATACAGCCAATTCACAACAATAGTAAAAACAGCTAAAGTGCTCTGTATCATAAAGACCTCACAATACTAAAACTTGAAACATGAAACGTTTGCAATTACCATGTAATTACCAACTAATGATTTATGTCTAGTCACGCCCCCCACCCCCAATTTATCTAGCCCTCTTTCCTTTGAAAAGTATATATGCTGTAATTTTTATGTATGTTAATGATATCCATGTGTGAGTTATGTTTTATTTACTTGTAAATAAAAGAAAATAAGAATAACATAACGTTGTTTTATTAGCCTTATTGTATCTTCTTCAGTTTTCATATTTCATATTTTATGCATACAGATCATACATAGGGCTGGGTATCGTCACTGATTTCTAGAATCGATTCAAATTCCGATTCACAAGGTCCCGAATCGATTCGATTCGATTCAATTTGAATCTGGGAAATTTTGCCTCAGACAGTCAGAAATATTATAATTCAGATCAGTACATTTACATATTTTTGTATCTATTAAAAGGGAAGCTGACACTTTCGAGACTTTATCAAAGGTGTGAGCATCACAGCAGATGCCTTTGTGTCAAAGTAGCTAAAGATAAAACAGAGAAAAACATGAAGGTGATTTTCCTGGCCTGGGATTTTACAAAAATATTCTGCAGTACATCAAAAACAAAAGAAAACCATTAATCAACATATAAACATTACCTCTGAAGTTACAACGGTTTTATTACAGACACGGCTAAGCGTTTTGCATTTTGCATAATTTTAAAAAGTTTACATTTGTTCAGAAGCCTATTGACCAGCAGAAATGAGGCTTTATTTTCGGAAGTAAGTAAAAGGGAAAAAAAACATCGGCCGACAGCGCTGTAAACAATGGTAGACATGTGGTAACAAGCAAGCGAATAATGCAGAAAACAGATTTTTAGACTGGAAACTGTTCTTGAAGTATACAGAGAGAGAGAGAGAGCTGTGCATGAAGTGTGATTTTATCGTGGTGGAAACAAAACAGCAAAAGTCAGAGGAAATTCATGTTTATGTGAAGCTTAGTTTGGATCTTCTTTTGCTGCTGGTTCGGTCAATAATGTTTGGAGAGAGATCAAACTAACAGCTTTAGAATCAGCGCAAAAAGGCGACATCTCACTGATTCTGATCCGCGGGTCTGCGCTTTGTGTTTACGTCTTTGTGCAGAAGCTGCTCTCATTTACTGTTTTAAATGTTTGGTGGTTGTCGAAATTTTGTGAGGTTTAACCTGAGATTCTGGCGTTTTGGGCAAAATAAATTAAAATAAAAAAAATCGATTCCACGTTATCCAAGCCAGAATCGATTTTAATTGATAAATCGATTATAAAAACCCACCCCTAGACGCAAATACATTATATTGTGACAACATAAACAACATAAAAAAAATCTGATGGTACTTAAGCAGAACTCGAATGAAAAGCCAGGATTAAAAAAATGATTTTCAAGATTTAATTAATTCTATTATTTAAAAATTATTCTTGGTATTAAATGTTAGCAATTGTAGATCAAATCATTAACTTCAATGGATTGTAGAAAAGATGCAAAAGGGAACGAGCTATTTTCTGATGACCTTCTGTCTGCGCTGGCAGTTTATGATGCACACTCATGTTCTTATTCTGCAATTTACAGAAGCTAATATTAAACACCATGGGCTGGTTAATGGATAAATCGATTATCAAAACCCACCTCTAATCATACACTCATTAGTGTGATTTTTCCCCCTGAAAAACCAAAGGAAATTGCTCAATACATTTTTAAACAATTTAAAAAGACTGTGGAACTGAAAACAGAGAAAATGAGGGAGAAAGTTAAAGTTTGGCCTGTTTGAAATGTACCCGTTTGTTCAGAGATGAAACACCACAAAAGTTTAAAGAATAACTATCTCAGATGGTGTAAATGTGTGTAAAATAATGTTTCTGTATATAATTTGATGGGAGCTTATGGTAACTATCTGTTGTGGCATGTAACATGCTGTGCCAGCTTTTCACACCAGCACACTTCATCTTTTTACTATCAGTCTGGAAACATTAGCAAGGAAATAAGAACTGACTCATGAAACTGAAAGCAGATGACACTGTTTGATGGTTTGCTCTTTGGTTTGGTCAGTTTTTCTTACAGGGGAAGTCGTTCTCTTCACTCTCAAAGCAGTTCTCTAAAAGGCATTTTTCATTAGACAGACTCACCTGTATATAATATACTAAAACAATCAAAACCTTTTTCACATTTGTCAAAACATGAATATAGCTAATGCAGAATAAATAATTTTCAGAAACAAAAATTAAATGTGAAGGATTTAAAAAAAACAAAACAAAAAATTTTTACTAAATAAATAAAATGAAGAAAAGCAAAATAGAGTCAAATTAAACTATTTGCATAAAAAAAACAAAGGAAAAAGAAACAATCTGAGAACACAGCGCCAACCAACTTTATTAGGTACACCTGCTCTACTGCTCATTACAGTAATCCAAATAAACCAATCAGCTTTCCGCAGCATCTTAAACTGAGAAGTGCGTTAACATAGTAACCAAACAGTAGTGAAGTATGTGGAGAAACAATGAGAATGTGAAAGACTTCATCATAAAAACCATGAAGAACCATGAACCATGAAGAGGCCGCTAAAACTACAACCACCTGCAGAGGGTCAGGCAAGCCCTGAGGAGTCAGCTGAACCGGAAGAACAAGATCCGGGCAATCGACACATACCCCAGTGATCAGGTACCCTGCTGGGATAATAAGTGGGCTATAGGAAGAGACAGAAGCCGGCAGGCCCAGCAGAAAAAGGAAGCTCCTGACCGTGCACATTTAGTGAACACCTCATACAGCAGAAAGAAGAAAAGCAAGGAGAAGAACCATCATGGAGAGGCAGCCACCTACAACCATACAAGCAACAGATAGAAGGAGTGTCTGATATAAAAAAACCCCAAAAGAAACACACAATCCAGAACCCCAGGTGCAGGCTGTCCAGAGATAATCCAAGGTGCAAGATGCCAACAAGCTGGGCAAACATCCAACACAAACTGTTTTGATGAGTCATCACATACAAGTGTCATGGTCCCTGTGTCTACCCGGCTGGCTCAGCGAGGCTACATGTATTTGTTATTGTTTTTTCCTTGTCTCTCGCTTGTGGTGTTTTTTGTTTGTAAAGAAACCTTTGCCCTTTACTCCGAATCTGCACTTGAGTCAGTTTTTGACAACGAGTAAGAAGTGCATCAACACAGTAATAAATATCTTTAGTAGCAAAGCATCCATAATTACAGTAAAAGTGTGTATAAAAACAATGCGAAAGGCTCATGTAGGTGTGGAAATGCAATACTGATTTAAGAACACCATTAAGAGTGCTTATCATGACCTTTCTCCTTTGAGAATTGCAATAAGACAATCAAGAAAAACCGTGACACGTTATGCTTTTCATGGTGTGTTATTTTCCTCAGCATTCATTAAAAAAAGCCAAAGAAATAATTAATACACTTTATCAAACAAAATGCATTCTTATTGTGTTTACTTAGTGATGATGTTGGGGAACTCGTCTTTATCCATTACAGCATAAATGTAAAACTAAGTAGATCAGAAATACAGTTATTGAGAAAAAACAGAGCAATGTAACAAATAATGAGTGTATCAGGCAGTGTAGTCAGTTCTGGTGATACTTTGTCCTTGGTATCTGTTTAAAGATTATGTATCTGTTTAAAGCTGTAATTTTTTATGCAGCTTTAAATAGATACATAATCTATAAAGACTTGGTCCTGAGCTAAAACATCTCATTTGGAAATTAGTTTATGTTCTGATTTACTGAATGAAATGATTTTTGTTAAGTTATGACAATACAACTTTTTCAGCTTCATTTCACTATTTTTTAGCCTAACCAAACATTACTATCTGAGATCTTTTTTACTTTATTTCTACAGGTAATGTGATAGCGATCTTCTCCATTTATGAACCAAACTACAACCAGAACACAACAAAAACTGATTCGTACTGCAACAAATCGCTCTACCTGTTTGCATTTTGGAGCACCATCCTGACCTACGTGCTGTTTGCTGCACTCGTTTACATTTGTTGCTGCTGTAAGGAAAAACCGGCTGATGATAATGAGGCTCTGCTGCGGAGATAAAAAGAAAAGAATAAATATGGCTGACATGAAAACATAGGCACACACAGCGGATCACAATCAGCATGTTTGGTGGTGTTATGATTTTTACTGATCACTTTGGTGCAAAATCAAACCAGAAATGTTATTTTCACTACTCTTAATGCACTTCTCAAATTTGTAATACATTTCCCCCACACATGATAGCTTAATGCCTAATCTGATTGTTTCTACACACACTTACAAGTACAGAAATAGTAAAACGTTTTTATTCATTCATCACAGAGTTGAAGTGATTCACTGACTCTTCATGTTTTGACATATTTGAAAAAGGTTTTATTTGTTTTAGTGACGCTGCGTTATAAAACTCAGAAGTGCATAAAGAGTGCTGAGAATGACTTTCCTTTGTGCCGAAGTGATGGAGAAAAACTGTAGTGAGTGTTTTTCCATGCGTGTTCCATTTACGGTATATTGTCAAAAGTGTTCACTCACCCATTCAAAACAATGAATTCTGTTGTTCCACTCAAGTTCAATGGATTTGTGTCTTATGTACTTTTAGCAAACATATTACAGGAACATGCGTTTGATCTGTTGATCTTTTAGAGAAATATCACAGTGAGGTTTAGCAATTAATGTTTTTACATTTAATCTTCTCAAATGATTCTCAAACATCATCAGGTATTATAAATATTATTTTTATTGTTTGTCAGGCTTGGTGTTTGCTGTGTTTTTCCATTATTGTTTAAGTTGTTACAAACTTAGAGCTCCTGGAGTTTCCCAAAAGTATGAGTATGTCAGGCTGAACTGTCAGAAACTAGAAAACAACATATAGAGAATATTAATTTGATGAAGTCATGCAGACAAAGCAAGAAGTCTTCAGTCAAAATGTTCATTAAACGGTTATGTTACATTAAGAGGAAACTACTTTTTATGTTTGATTTCTTTGACCATGTTCTCAGTGATTTCAGAGGATTATTGCGAAAACAGTGCCGGCATTTTGTTGTTGAGAATAAATAATCGGAACTTTCCCTCCTTTTGTTTAAAGTTTTCTGAATATAAACAAAAATGTTGTGTGATATAAATCATAGCTTAATGAAATCCATATGTGAGCTTCTTAATTTGGGAATATCCCAGCTATTAACTTTTTGTTTATCTGAAAAAATAAATTAAATAAAAAACAAAAATTCATGTAATCGTCCTATTTTTTATTTCATAGTTTAGTACAGTGCTGTAGCTTCTTTATTCTTTGTCAATTTAATTAATTGGCATAATATTTTTTTAACTGAACCAAAAAATGTGTCAATATGGAAACTGAAAACAGGGAAAGTATTTTGGAAAAGCAGACAAATCTCGTGCTGCCTCAAAACCAGTGAAAAAAACCTCAGACAGGGAAGACTCAGTGGTTTAGACCAAATAAGGGGAAGTGCTCGTAAATTCACTTCTCAAAGTCATTTTATCCTAGAAGTTTGGTCTGCTTGAAATGTATAGGGAGCTTTGAAAGAAAGTGACTGGACTTCTTTTTGTGAAACTTAAACTTTCTGTCCAAGCTTCTCAGACTACCATGATCTGGGATGAAAACCCACACAGCCTGTTTGCAAAGTATCTATACTGATTCAGAGTTGATACCAAGAGTTTGTCTGTCTATGGGGCAAGACTGAACTGAGTGTGCAGGTCTGGTGGTGAAGTAAGCTTGCCGGGGCCTTAGCGACGCAGATGGAGGAAATCTGGAGGCCCGCTGGGAGGCCCGCTGGGAGGCCAGTGGCTGAGACAGAGGAACTGGGGACCAGCAGAGGAGGATGAGACGTAGTGTTGGGGAAGGATCCTCATCCTCAAACCACTGGCTTCTTAAAAAGGAAGCCAAGCTGGACGAGAAAAAAACCCCTCTATGGCAGCTGTGAGAGTCAGTTTAGATGTCCTCTACAAGGGTATTTGGTATCTAACACTGAGCACTGATTCAACTCATCATCTTCAAATTAAACTTTCTTAATCAAAGTATACTGATAAAAAATAAAGGAAGAGCATAGCATCAAGTCAGTTAAACTTCTTGGCTACTAATCTGATCATTTAAGTAACAGAGGCGATTCAGGGACCATACGAATTGAGCTACTTAACACTGGTAGCTCAATATGAACCATACAAAGAGCTGTTTGAAGTCCAAAACCTGAATTCCTCAAGTAATACTACAAGAAAATTCAGATATATAGTCTGAAAACGCTGTACGCTTCATATTTCTGACACAAAAAGACAAACAAATGAACAATAAAGCAATGTTTTTTTCCCTTCTTGTTATTATTTAACCTTTTAGTTTTTATGTAATGTTGCTGACATACACATGAGTAAAAATATAATTATCCCAGTGAATCACTGTACTCCTCACCCAAATAACATTAGTGGAAAGGGAAGATTGAGAGCAAGCACTAGTGAAAGACGCTGTAAAAGGAAGTTGAAACGTGCTCACATGCCCATGTTACATGTGGCCATGTTCTCTATCTTTATAGCAGTCCAGACAGACACACAAACAGGTAGGTCTGCAACTATCTGCTTAATGCTTTCACATAATGGATTTTAATTTGTAACTATTTTGAAATACACATGAAGTTGTTTTTTAACATGCTAATTTCTTGTAGAAACATCTGTTTGTTGAGCTGCTTTTGTTATCCGGTAAGAAAGATTCATAATTTCTCTTTTACAAACTAATATCTATGATTAAAACATTTTCTGATAGCCTTGCACTCTAAAGAGTAAGTAAAAAGTAAATAACTTTCTACCTTTACATTTTCTTATTTTTCTTTGTAAATCATTTTCATTTATAACCTAATCAGAATAACAGGAATGGAAACATCAGGAGGCTATCTTGTGGCTCACTTTGTGTCTTTATGTTAGATTCAAAACTAGTTACAATGCAGGGGAGTCAGAGACCACAATTCATCTGTGGACTGAGATGCATAACAATAGGTGAGAGAGTGATGTGTTAAGTTTTTGCAGACATTTAAAGTTGGTGGATACTGATTTGGGACTGAAAACATGCTGTATTTGCCTCCTTCAGGGCTTATTTTGTTTCTTTTTTACTTAATATTCATTGGCCAAGGGGCGATTGGTAAGCAAGAGATGCTCATATTCCCATTCGGAGATTGAATTTATGTGAATTTATTTTTATGAGCCAGACAATGTTTGAAAAAAATCAAATCTTTATCTTTGCACCCCACAGGTTCAGGTGTGTTTCAATGTCCCAGACAGCCTTTTATCTCCCTCTACATGTCCCTGTATGGGATCATACCGGTCTTCTTGGCACTGAGCTTATGGTGTAACTGGTGCAACAGTGTCTGTTGGTCTGTAACCACCATCTTCTTCTGTTGCTGGTTAATTGCTGGTAAGCTTTAAAAAAAAAAGTGTCAATTTTTGCAAATTATTAGCTCACAGTCTTGGCTGGAGTGAGAACAAGATGTTTCTTACTCCAAAACCCCCCAAATTTAACATGTTTTATTGATTTCCCCCATGAGTTTAGAGAAAACATAAACAACATAAACTACAGATTCTAATGCATTTTTTTTT